TGGCCCTCCCCAACCCCCCACCCCACTTCCTGCCAGTTTTCTTCACTGTTATGCACTGACACCGTTGTCTGGTGGGAGGCACTCATAAACACTGTGCAATGATTGACAGCATGGATATTGTTTTATTCTACATTATGTGTTTTTATCCTATATTACTTTTATTCCTTCTTCATAGTATAAATGGGACATTCTATTTATTTATTTTTAATTGTATGTGCAGGGAGATAAAATTATCTGTGAATTTTATTCCCACATAGTGAAGGAAGCGTGAATATCTTTTGTTCTCTAAAAGGATGAGAGGCATGAGAATGACAAGCTGGACAGAATGACTCTCATTAATGTCCTGTTTCAACAGGCCCTGGGGGTCACCTTGAGCATTCCTGAAGCCGAAAGACAACTACTTGCATAGTTGACCATCGAGGAAGCTTTGGGGACATTGGTAAACTCAAGGAAGACTGCTGGTGATGTCACATCCGGGACAATGGCAGGACTTCCTTTCTGGGCATGTCCGGTGCATACAGGATGGAATCAGGAGAGGCACCTTTCAGCTCCAGTGCTTTTAGAACCCGTTCAGTGATTCAGAGTGAGCGTTTGAAGTGAGTTTCTCACTTCATGCCACATTTGATCTTCAATGCACAAAGAAAGTACAAAGCCAGAGAGGTGACCCAAGAGGCAGAGGCCCTTTCTTTCAAAGCTAAGTCTTGTTGGGTTTAAGCAAGGATCAGTCTGCTCAATGTTAATGATGAGATTGGAAAGTGTATTGACATTGCAGGTGTTTTAAGTGTGAAGATGAAACAGACGTTTCTTTTTATCTACTCATCAGTGACTAGAGAAGCCTCTCAGCTAGAGAGATTTTGTTGTTTTATTCTACTTTTTTTTCCCACACTGACTTCTTGTGTAAAGTATGGCAGCACCTAATCTTCAGAAATAAGTGACTGGCAGCTTAGTGTTGAGAAAATTATACTAAGGCTGGGTACAGCGGGAATATCATTGTCCCTGACATTCAGCAGTCGAGGCGGGAATAGTGAGTCGCCCCCCGGGTTAAAGACAAGGAAGCTAGGCTCAGGGAAGAATGGAGTTGCCTGGGACCAGCTTCTGGTAAGAGACAGCCTCAGGGTGGGAAATAAGCTTCCTGGCTTGGAGACTGCTGTTATCTTCTACAGGGAGTTGATAGAAGGCAGGAGCTGTACTGTGTTAGTCAGCGTTCTCCAGAGAGACAGAACCAACAGGGAGGGTGTGTGTGTGTATGGGGAGAGAGAGAGAGACTTTAAGGAATTGGCTCACACAATTGTGGAGGCTCAGATGAGTCCAAAATCTGATGGGATTGGCTAGAAGGCTGGAGACTCTGTGAAAAGTTGCCGTTCAAGTCCAAGGTCAGCTGCCTGGAAGAATTCCTTCTTGCTTCTGGAGGTTGGCCTTTGTTTCATTTGGCCTTTAACTGATTGGATGAGGCCCACTCATGTTGTAGGTGGAAATCTGCCTTACTCAAAGTCCACTAATTTTAATGTTAATCTCATTTAAAAAATACCTATCTTCACAGAAACATCCAGAATAATAATTGACCAAATATTTGGGCACCATAGCCCAGCCATGTTGACACATAAAATCAATCCTCACACATACCTTAATTTAAAAATATGTTTTAAATAATAGTAAATGCAATAGATATTCAGTATAGAAAATTTAAAATTGCAAACAAATATAAAAAAGAAAACGTTCCATTTCACCGAGTGCATTGGGCTATTGCCTTACGAACTAATTCTAGGCTTACTTACACTGCGACATTTTCATACCTAGCCATGGTATCATTTCACAGGAGCATTTTGCAGGTACTTTTTTCACTTAGCAAGACTATGAATTTTTTCCCAGGTTAACACATATTCTTCCACATCCTGATTTTTAGTGCTTGCACAGCATCTGTCTGATGCCAGCCGTAGTGAATGATTGCCCCCTGCTCAATATCCTTTCTCCTGTTTCTGGTAACAGTGCCAGATGTTCTTTCAGGGATGTATCCCACCCACACTCTCAGGCCGTGTGGTTCAGGTGAGGCTAAATCTACCTCCTGACCCCTTTTGGCCTGCAACCAAAGTCATCAATATTGAGAAAGAGACCCAGGTGTGGTGGCTCATGCCTGTAATCCCAGTACTTTGGGAGGCTGAGGCAGGTGGACCACCTGAGGTCAGGAGTTTGAGACCAGCCTGGCCAACAAGTAAAACCCCATCTCTACTAAAAACACAAAAAGTAACTGGGTGTGGTGGTACATGCCTGAAATCCCAGCTACTCGGGAGGCTGAGGCACAAGTATCACTTGAACCCAAGAGGTGGAGGTTGTGGTGAGCTGAGATCATGCCACTGCACTCCAACCTGGGTGACAGAGCGAGACTGTTTAAAAGAAAAAAAATTGAGAAAAAGGGTTCTTTTTTCCAGGTTGTTAGGCTGGTTGACTATAGGTCTGGAATTGCTGGAGACCATTTTTGTCAATATGTGAACTTGGTCCTAAAGATGAATCCAGAATGGAGAAAAGCAAATTAGAGAAACAGAGAGAAAAAGATTCCTGATTACATATTATAGTTTGAATACCTGGATCTAGCAGTGCCTGAAACTATTCTCTTATACTTTTCCATTATGGCAGATAAATTCTCCTTTTTTTTTTTTTGTTTAAGCCAGTAGAGTTGGATTCTGCCACTTTCTCTGGAAAGAGTCAGAGTCTTATTTGAATATAGTATCACTCTACCTGACATATGCCAGTACATGACTGTATTGTTTTTTTTTCCTGACAGTGTATCCACTATGAGCAAAAAGTTTCAAGGGGATTTGGAGATTATAAAATTAAGAGGCCAGGCATTGTGGCTTATGCCTGTAATCCCAACACTTGGGAGGCTGAGGCAGGAGGAGTGTTTGAGCCCAGGAGTTTGAGACCAGCCTGGGCAACACGGTGAGACCCTGTCTCTATAAAAAATAGAAAAACCAGCTGGGTGTGGAGGCATGCACTTGTACTGCCAGCTACTCAGGAGGCTAAGGTGGAAGGATTGCGTGAGCCCACGAGGCCAACGCTGCAGTGAGCTGTGATTGTGCCACCACACTCCAGCCTGTGCCACAGAGCGAGACCTAGTCTCAAACAAAACAAACGAGAAACAAAAAACTAAGATGACTAAGACATACTCTTGGATCTCAATGAGTTTGATTCAGTGACTGGGGCCAAGTACATTTTAATCACCTACAAGATTGTAAATTTCAACAGCTCATAAGGGTGAAGATAGGCTTCCTAGAGGAATAAGCACTAAGCATTGACCTGGAAAAGAGGAAGAGATCATTTAAAATTCCTTTTCATGTGTGGGCTGGTCCTGGCCACAGTTTTAATGTGCATATGAATTGCCTGGGATCTTATTAAAATGCAAATTCTGGACCAGGCACGGTGGCTCAGGCTTGTGATCCTAGCACTCTGGGAGGTTGAGGCGGGTGGATCACTTGAGGTCAGGAGTTCAAAACCAGCCTGGCCAACATGGTGAAACCCCCATCTCTTCTAAAAATACAAAAAATTAGCAGAGCCTGGTGGCAGGTGCCTGTAATCCCAGCTATTTGGGAGGTTGAGGCAGGAGAATTACTTGAACCTGGGAGGCAGAGGTTGCAGTGAGCCGAGATGATGCCACTGCACTCCAGCCTGGGCAACAGCGAGAGACTGTCTAGAAAAATAATAATAATGAAATAAAATAAAATGCAAATTCTGATTCAGTAGCTGTCTGGTGGTGCCAAAATCCTGCATTTCTAGCAGGTACCCAGGTGAGGTGGGCCCTGCTGGTCTGCAGGTTGCACTATGAATGGGAGCATCTGGCCTTCCTCGCTCCTCCTGTCTCGTCTCCCACCCGACCGCTCTGCTCAGCCCCAGGTACTCCTTTCTGCTCCCCCAGCACCCACAGCTCTGCACACCTGCTGGCCTCCAAGCCTGGATTGCTCTTCCCTGAACCCTCTTACCTGGGGCTTCTCTTCCATCTCAACTCAAATGCCACAGCAGCAGCCAGGCCTCTGGCAGCTCCCATTTCCAGTGGGACTTCCCTGGCGCTCATGCTCTGCTTTCTTTTTCTTTCCTTCTTTCTTTCTTTCTTTCTTTCCTTCTTCCTTCCTTCCTTCCTCCTTTCTCTTTCTTTCCTTCCTTCCTTCTTCCTTCCCTCCCTCCCTTTTTCTTTCTCTCTTTCTCCCTTCCTTCATCCTTCCTTCCCTCCCTCCCTTCTTTCATTCTTTCTCTTTCCCTCCCTCCCTCCCTTCCTTCCTTTTTCTTTCTTTCTTTACCAGAGTTTTGCTCTTTTTTGCCCAGGCTGGAGTGCAGCGGTTTGACCTCGGCTCATTGCAACCTCCACCACCTGGGTTCCAGCGATTCTCCTGCCTCAGCCTCCCAAGTAGCTGGGATTACAGGCACCTGCCACCACTCCTGGCTACTTTTTTTTTTGTATTTTTAGTAGAGACAGGGTTTCACCATATTGGCCAGGCTTGTTCTTGAACTCCTGACCTCAGGTAATCCACCCGTCTTGGCCTCCCAAAATGCTGGGATTACAGGCTTGAGCCACCACACCCAGCCATGTTCATGCTTTTCAAGTCTTTTTTACATTATGGCAGAGGCAGAAAATGGTACTCTGTGTGGCTTGCTGGACTGAAGGGATAAGCCAGAGGTGGTAGCGGAAACTTCCAGGGCCTCCCCATTTTGCGCATCTGTAATCCACTCACAGCGCAAGGTCAGGAAGCTCAGCAGAACCTGTTTTACCACTTTCATAGTAGTTGCCAAGATCTGGGTTGATGGTGTTGATTGACATGTTCATTGCCTACCTTTCCAGTAAGGACGCCCTGTAGCACACAACCCTATTCCATTGCTCTCTCCTCAGCAGTGTCTGGCGTGACAGGCACTTGGCAGATATTCCTCCTGTGAATTTCTAGCAAAGACAAGATCCTGAGCAAAAGTGGGGGATGGAGTGAGTCACGCAGATCAGCTACAGCCTGAGCAGAGCATGTGTAGGAGGTGATAGGCAATGAGGAAGGCTGTGATGAAGACCGGATGCTTAATCTGGGAGGTGATGGGGAGCTAAGACCAGATGTGATCGGGGCTACTGAGGCGTGTCCGTATGGCTGGTAGGGATAGGGAGAGGGAACAGGTAGGCCAGTGATACGGTTTGGCTGTGTTCTCACCCAAATCTCATCTTGAATAGCAGTTCCCACAATCCCACGTGTTGTGGGAGGGACAGGGTGGGAGGTAACTGAATCATGGGGGCGGTTACTGCTGTTCTCGGGACAGCGCGTGAGTTCTCACGAGATCTGATGGTTTTATAAGTGACTTTTCCCACCTTCACTCTCCATTTCTCCTTGCTGTCACCATGTGAAGGAGGACGTGTTTGCTTCCCCTCTCGGCCATAATTGTAAGTTTCCTGAGGCCTTCCCAGCCCTGTGGAACTGTGAGTTGATTAAACGTCTTTCCTTTACAAATTACCCAGTCTGGGGTATGTCTTTCTCAGCAGCGTGAGAACAGACTAATACAGCTGAGAATAGGAGCCAGGAGCCACCAGACAGCTCTTGAGGCTCCTGAGTGAAAGTGGGTGTGGCAGTGGGAAGGGAAGGATGGAAATGCCTGTGAAGGCCAGGGAGGATCAGGATGGAGGAGGACGGTGGGAGGTAGGGTTTGGTGGTGGAGTGGGGAAGAGACCAGGGCTGTGGACTTAAATAGGGAGGTTTTGGATCAGAAGCAGGAGGTGTTAAGGAGAAGCAAGTTCTGAGGGGAAGCTTGAGTGAAAACAGAGGAGTTCTTCAGCTTACTGATTCTAATTTGGAGAACTGGTCGAGTTGTATCACCTGCAGTCTCAGATGTAAGGGAAGGGTCTGCTGGCAACACTGACCCCCCATACACAGAGGGGAACTGGGAGCCCAGCAGACCTTAGAGCCGCCCAGGTGAGCCCCTCCCAGCGGTGCTTCACTGAGGCCTCACCTGCTGGCCCCTAACTTCAGCTTCTCAGATGTGAAATGGGGCAATGATAAGCACGTCCTGTAGATCGGTTGTGCAGTAGAGAGAGCTCGTGCAGGTGGGTGACTCACGGCAGGACGCACTGGGGGGTCGGTGTCCTGGATGTCCTGCTGGGCTGCTCAGACCCCCTCCAGGACTGAAGCACTTACTGTCCCAGTTGTTGGGCTTGTTGGTCACTGACAGCTAACAGCTGCATCCCCACAGGGCCCAGCCTCACCCCAGGACATCCCCTTCCCTGAGGTCAGCCACATCGGATAAGCTATAAGCCCTCAGCTGTGGTTGCACCATCGCTCAGCCTCTCCCTCGTGCCAATCCTGTATCCTTGGCTCCCCTTACGGGACAGGTTGTGTGTAGACCCTGATTAACGTCCTGCATGCAAATCTCAGTCTCAGAGTCCGCTTTCCCAGGAACCTAGCGAATAGTAGTATCTTGGCAGAATGACTCGAAGCCATGGAATATCAGATATTCCTGGTTGGCCAGAATCTTAGAGACTGTACTGCAAATTTTTAGTCCAGAAGCTCAGAAGGAAAGCAGTGTGTTGGAGAACTAGCCTGTGAGGCAAGACAGTTCTCAGGCATGTCAGAAATTCTATTTTTGTATTATGGACCCCTTCTGAAGTTAATGTTTATAAATGCCTAAAATAAAAGTCACAGGATTGCAAAGGAAACCCACTCTATTGCAGTATAGTTATCTGATCATTATGAAATAGATTTATTACATATTAATATATGATATAGCAATATAGAAATTATTGTGATACAGTAATACAGTTAAAGATCCATCAGTGGGTGAATCATCTAGAAGAGGCAATGAATGTCAGTGATATCTCAAGATATACACAGCAGCTATATTGGGATATAAAAACAGCTGACTTCCATTGATGACAAAATCAGGGTTTTCCAAATACTGAGGTCAGTGAAAAGAAAGAAGTAACTTCTTCCCCACCCAAATCATGGATTGCCCGAATTCTATGCAAGGACTCCCTGGGAGTCTGGCTTATGCTTGTAATCCCAGCACTTTGGGAGGCTGAGGCGGGCGGATCACGAGGTCAGGAGTTCGAGACCAGCCTGGCCAACACAGATAAACCCCGTCTCTACTAAGAATATAAAAATTAGCTGAGTGTGGTGGTGGTTGAATATAATCCCAGCTGCTCCGGAGGCTGAGGCAGGGGAATTGCTTGGACCCAGGAGGCAGAGGTTGCAGTGAGCTGAGATTGTGCCACTGCATTCCAGCCTGGGTGACAAAGTGAGACTTCCGTCTCAAAAAAACAAACAAAAAAACCGCCTTAGTGTTATAAGTCTGCAATCTACTATAAGATATGTAGTTCTAGATGGCGTGATATAGATGTGTGCATTTGTGCTGTGAATTGAATATTTATGCCCCTCTAAAATTCCTATGTGGAAGCCTAATCCCCAGTGTGAGGATATTAGAGGGTGGGGCCTTTGGGAGGTCATTTGATCCTGAAAGTGGAGCCCTCCTGAGTGGAATTAGTGCCCTTATGGGGAGGGGTCAGAGAGGTAGCTCCCTGTCTTTCTGGCCTGTGAGAATACAACAAGGAGAGAGCCGTCTGCACGCCAGAAAGCTGGTCCCACCAGGCGTTCGGATCTGTTGGCACCTTGATCTTGGGCTTCCTAGCCTCCAGAACAGCGAGAGATCAGTGTTTGTTGTTTAAGCCACCCAGTGAATGGTAATCTGTTATAGCAGCTCAACTGACTCATCCAGGGAGAAATCCACATGCCAGAGGTGATTAATTAACGTTTGCTCAGAAGAGTCACACCTCAGGACACCTGCTGCAAGCTCTTCGGTTTTCCAGCTCATTGATCAACACCAGGTGTCTTACTAATTAGCACAGAGTAGCAGAAGTAGGTTTTTATTGATAAAACTTGTGGCTAACAACCTAATAGAGGTAAGAAATGGGCTCTTGTTCATAAGATTAGTGGTGTTCAAAATTAGGGAACTGGCTAAAATGTTTTTGAGACACTGCACGCTTGGATGACTGGGGAATAAGAATCCAACAAGGCTCCCCCTTCTCCCATAGGGACATGCCTGAGGCTTGATTCCTGTCTGCCTGGTGTCTAATCATGGGGCTGGAGGAGAGCTGGTTGCCTAGTATCAACCCCAGGCAAAACAGGATCTTGCCTCTGAAATCTTGTTGTCTAATCCTCAAGAAAATGTTTCCTGTAGGGTATTATCAGGAATGGATCATAGTCCAAACTAATCCTTCCTTTTTACCAGTAATCCCTTTATGTAAAATCAAGTAGCAATCATAAGACTGGGGTGAAAGAAAATAATACTCTGATGTATTCTTCAAGTTATAGGAAAGGAAGTGGGGAGAGGTGAGCAGAAAGCCAGTCCACAATATCCTGATAACTATTTATCCAAAATGTAAATGAAAGACAAACTGTTTATCTATCCAGGCATCCACTCATTCATTCAACACATGACTGTCAACCACCTACTGTGTGCCAGTCACTGTGCTAGGCACTGGGGGATAGTAAAGTACAGGAGAATGAAGGTCTCTTGGATTGTAGATGGGTGGGGGAGACAGACATCAAATACACAGTTCCACAGATGATTATATAATTCTAATTGTGATAAGTGTTAAGGAGGAAAATGGAGGACAGCATGAGAATATAAAATGGGGGGAGGGATGGTAGCTAATGTAGCCTGGGAGATTAAGCTGAGTCCTGAAGATTGAATCCAACATTAGGCATGGGGGCTGGGTGCTGTGGCTCACACCTGTAATCCCAGCACTTTGGGAGGCCAAGGCGAGTGGAGCACGAGGTCAGGAGTTCGAGACCAGCCTGGCCAACATGCTGAAACCCCATCTCTACTAAAAATACAAAAATTAACCTGACACTTGCAGTGGCAGGCACCTGTAACAAGCTACTTGGGAGGCTGAGGTGGGAGAATTACTTGAACCTGGGAGGCGGAGGTTGCAGTGAGCCAAGATCGTGCCACTGCACTCCAGCTTGGGTGACAGAGCAAGACTCCATCTCAGAAAAAAAAATTTGCTGACCACATAGAACTTCTATTCAAGAGAGAGTCAATACACATTTTCTAAAAAGCATAATATGTGTATTCTGAGAGGTAGTGAAGGTCTATGAAGATAAAGTTGGAAATGGGGAAAGAAGTGCACTGTGTATGAAGGGCTTGCAGCTTGAAATCTGAATGGTCAGGGAAGGCTCACTGAGAAGGCTCCTTGGAGCAAAGACCTGGAGGAGTAAGGGAGAGAGGCAGGCAGATGTTTGGGAAGAGCAAGTGCAAAGACCCCAAGATGGGAGCATGACCAGAGTGTCCAAGACAGCAAGGTCAGTGTGGCTGGCACAGGGTAAACAGAGCGAATGGCTGGAAGTGAGGTCGGTGTGGTGAGCGAGCCTGTGGAGACCTTGTTGACCAGTGGCAAGACTGGGTTTCCTGCAGCGTGACTTGGGAAGCTGCAGAGAGTTTTGTTCAGAGGAGAGGTCAGATATGACTTACATTTCAAAAGAACCATTTTGGCTGTGACGTTGAGAACAGATTATGAAGGGACGAGTCAAACGCAGACGTCCATCAGGGAATCTTTTGCAATAATCTGGGGGAAGGATGATAGTTGGTTGAATCAGGGTGGTGTCTGTGGAGGTGGTGAGAAGGACTTGAACATATTTTGAAGACAGAGCCAAAAGGATTTGCTGATAAATTAAATGTGAAGTGTGAGAGAAAGAAAAGACTCAAGGATAGATGCCAAGGTTTTTGTCTGTCCAACTAAAATGATGGGATTGCTGTTAGCTAATGAGAAAGATGGTGAGAGAACAGGTTTTGGGTGGGTTGGTATTAGTAGCTTAGTTTTATAATTTGAATATGTCAAATGAAGATGTCAAATCACAGTTGGATACACAAATTGAACATCCACATACAGGAGTTCTTCCTGTGTTCTTAATACTCCTGTCAGATACACATGTTGTAAATTTCCCCTCTTACTTTGTAAATCGTGTTTTCTTTCTTTCTTTTTTTTTTTTTTTTTTTTGAGACCGAGTTTCGCTCTTGTTACCCAGGCTGGAGTGCAATGGTGCCATCTCGGCTCACCACAACCTCCGCCTCCTGGGTTCAGGCAATTCTCCTGCCTCAGCCTCCTGAGTAGCTGGGATTACAGGCACGCGCCACCATGCCCAGCTAATTTTTTGTATTTTGAGTAGAGACGGGGTTTCACCATGTTGACCAGGATGGTCTCGATCTCTTGACCTGGTGATCCACCCGCCTCGGCCTCCCAAAGGGCTCATTTTCTTTCAGGTGTTCTCTAATGAATAGAAGCTCAATTTTAATGTAATCATATGTATCAACCTTCTCATTTATAGTTGATACTTTGTGTCTTGTTTAAGAAAAATCTTTTCTTACCCTGAAATTAGAAAGTTGTTAACCTAC